TGCTAATGAATGATTTTACAAAAAAAAAAAATCACATCTGAAAGTATCCCTACTAGTTTTACAAACGTTTAGTGAATGCTCATTATAAATGAAGAAAAAAAAATATAGACCTCTTCTTATCAAGAGTTTACAATCTAGAAAAAACACAGAAGCTTCAATTAAAAATTATCCTTTTAAAAAAACACTACATAATGGCATGACAAAGGAAAGCTAAGGCATTTGTATTTTAAAATGAGTAATATATATTATATTTTAGGAATATTAACCACTCATATCAAATTTATTAGAGAGGTTTTAAACTTACCTGTTAACAACAGAGTCTCGCAGTTAAAACCAAAAAGGAATTTAAAGGTTAGTAGGGAATTTACAGAAGCCCTGTGTAGGATCTGAGACACAAATTTAAAAGAAGCCACAGAGTAACCTACTATATCTATGTACTTTTCCAGGAGAATTAAGATTTTCAGTAGAATTAAGATTTTCAGTAGTATTTTACACTTCTGAAAATAAAAGCCTAGAATAATCAGAAACTTCCTACTACCACTTTTGCCAAGATATAAAGTCTCTTACCTCAGTCTGCTGCTTCATGTTGTGTCTATGCAGTTTCATGTAAGAATATGTATCTGATCACATGCTCTCACCTTAGATGTGAGTGAGTATGAGAATATGAAATTGTGAACATTTGTACTGGAATGTCAAGATTTGCATGGGAAATTAATAAAAGTCTGGAAAGCTATTAAAAATGCAAAGTGACTATAATTACACTGCTATTTTTTTGTTAAATTTGAAATGGATTATAAAGTCAGAATTTTTATTTTACAAAAACATAGAAACTACTTACTATTTTAGTTATGGTGATTTCCAAATCAAAAGATGAGTTAGTTTATATAAGTATGTGAAGCAATAAATATTAAAGGATATAAGTTTCTGGTCATTTAAACATTAAATTTTACAAAAAGCAACTGTGAGAATATTTTTAATACAGTTACGGTATCAAAAACTACTATCTGATGTCATATTCTATGTTGAGAAAGATGGTGCATGCCTGAGATCTCAACACTTATCCCATAAGACAAAGAAACTAAAGTGAATGAGCACACAAACATAATAAAAATTAGGACAAACAGAATTTATTTAACGAGAATCAATATGTCCTTTTAACAAATTTTATTTTTTGAAAGTGTTACATACTTTCTTTGCTTAATAAATAGGTCTACAAAATATATTCCTTCCTTAAAATGGTTTAAAGTCACCAACAGAAATAAAATGAAGTGGTAGGGATAGTGCCAAGATTGTTTTAGCAGCCATAAATTAATTGGATCTAATTCAATTTTCTAAGTCTCTGACCAATAGTGTTGATGTTTCCTAAACCAAAAGGCCCTCTCTGTACCAGTTAGATCAAACTTCCCGCTGTCCTTTCAGCATTTTCTTAAAGATAGCTCATCTGCTCTGCAGCCCGCAATATAGTTTTAATGTGCAAAAAACACTAGAATGAGTAGAGCATGAATAGATACTGTTAAAGCAATTAAGAAACAATCTCATTAGTTTAAATGAGAGATAAAAGAACTAGATGAAATCAGAAACAAGAGACACATAAAGATGTGAAAGATATTTGGGAAATAAGATGTTGAAATCTGGGGGAATATTTGAAATGTATGCAAGAAATAGGAACATTTTGGGGGCTGGAGAGATGGCTTAGTGGTTAAGAGCACTGCCTGCTCTTCCAAAGGTCCTGAGTTCAATTCCCAGCAACCACATGGTGGCTCACAACCAACTGTAATGAGGTCTGGTGCCCTTTCTGGCCTGCAGGCATACACGCAGACAGAATCATGTATACATAATAAGTAAATATTTTAAAAAAAGAAGTAGGAACATTTCCAGGATGAACACCAGATTTCTCACCTGCATAAGTGAATAACATCATTCACCAAAAGAGGGCCCTGCAATGTTAAGTTTTAAGAAGTAAGCCCATACATTCATAATTCATTTTAAATACAAACAATTTAAAGATACTATACCAAATTGATATGGGACTCCCCTCTGTGTGCTGTGATTACCATTAATGAATAAAGAAAACTGACTTGGCCTGTTGATAGGGCAGAACTTAGGTAGGTGGGGAAAACGGAACTGAATGCTGGGAGGAAGAAGGCAGAGTGAGAGAGAACCCATGAAGTCACCAGAGTCAGACATGTCAAATCTTTGCCGGTAAGCTACTGTCATGTGACAAGTACAGATTAATAGAAATGGGTTAAATTAATATAAGAGTTAGACTATAAGAAGCTAGAGCTAATGGGCCAAGCAGTGTTTTAAATAATACAGTTTCTGTGTGATTATTTTGGTTCTGGGTGGCTGGGATGAACAAGTGGCCTCTCCTTCTACACCAAATATCTTTTGTTTTCCTCTGCATTTACCCCACCCTTTGCAGTACAGATTATCGACAGGAAACCTTATCCCTCATGGAGACCTCTGGGAATTGATCAGAAAGGATTGATTTTATTCTTTTGGTTCTCTTCTTAGCTTGAGTTAAACTCTTCAGTAAGAGATGTCATACTTTTAAAACAACCTTTTCATAACTCCCTCCTAAGTATCAGTATCTATTCTCTCAAACTATTCTAGAAAACAGCAGGGAAGAGAAGGTTCCAAATTCATTTTTACAATACCAGTCCTACTCTGATATCAAAACTAATAAAAGTACAACAAAAAGAATACAGGGTAAGATTCTTGATGAACATTTATATAAGAGTATTCAATAAAATACTCAAAATCCAAACTGAACAATTAATATGTACAACGTACTTTTATCTTAGGTGTGTGTATGGGATATGCCTGTGGCATTGTGGAGGCAAGAAGTCAATGTTGACTGTTTTCTTCTACAGTGCTCCTCCTTGTTTTGGTTTGGTTGCTTGGCATGTCTGATCTAGGGTACCATATGCAGCTCTGCTGTCCTTAACTCTCTATGTGAACCAGAGTGGACTGGGACTCACTAAGATCTTTCTAAGTGCTGAAACCAAAGGCACGCGCGATCCCACCAGGCACTTTATCTTACTTTGTAAAGAAAGAGTCTTTTACTGAGTAAAAAACATGAAATGCTAGTGAGGAACCAATATTCTACCTAAACACACAATTTATCGTGTGTTTTTTTCTGTTATCAACCCAAATAGCTGACAACGTACACTATTACTTAAGTCTATACAGTATGCTAGTATGCTACAATTTTCCTTTATTTTTTTAATTAAAAAATGTCTGTGCATGTGTGTGTGCATAAGTGTGTGTGTAGGTGGGCATGGTGAGGCTACAGGTTGACACCCTGCGTTTTTCCTCTACAGTTTTCCAACTTACTTTTGAAGCAGAGTCTCTCATTGAGCTTGGAGCTCACCAACTGGTTAGATTGATAGAATGGGTGGCACAGTCATGAGATCCCTATTTCTGCACTGGATGTGTGGGACCACACGCAGCTGTTTGTGTAGGTGCTAGAGGTCAAACACAGGTCCACATGCTTGCCAAGCAAGCACTTTACCCACTAAGCCTTCTCTCTGGCCCAAATTATGAGACAGAATATGATATAGATCATTATTGACCCTCAAATTCCCTATGTAGCCAACTCCTGATATTCCAAGTGTTGAGATTAAAGGTGTGCACCACCATGCCCAGCTAATTTTTACAATAATGAGTTGACTTAACGAGTATAATTAAAAAAATTAGAAGTAAGCTGAACAGAGGTGGTGCACGCCTTCAATCCAAGAACTCAAGAGGTGGAGGCAGACAGAGTAAGTTCCAGGTCAGTCTATTTTACAGTTAGTTCTATGGCAGTGAAGGTTACACAATGAAACCCTGTCTCAGAAAAAAACGAGCAAACAAAAAAATCCCCCAAACTTACAAGTATGTAGTAACATTTTGCAATTGATGAAGTGCAATCTGACAAAAGGTCACCAAACTACATAATTACAAGTTAAAATGATTCATAATACAAAATATTTCTAAGAGAAATTAAATTCTGGGTAAAACAATTACCCAGAAATTAATCAGTAATATCCATGCAATATTAATAAAAAGTCCATTGGACCTATTTTTTTTGTAAAGAAATTTACAGCATTCTAAAATTATATGCAAAAAGCTGGGCTGAGGTGGCACACGCCTTTAATCCCAGCACTCGGGAGGTAGAGGCAGCTGGATTGCTGTGAGTTTCAGGGCAGTCTGGTCTACAAGAGCCAGTTCCAGGACAGTTTCCAACGCTACAAGAGAAATTCCTATCTCGTAAAACAACAAAAACCAAAACAGAACAAAACCAATCAACTAAATGTCAAAGGTAAAAATTTCTTCTTGAAAGACACTGAAAACAGAAAGGCAGGACACAGGTTTTATTTTGCTTGCTTTTTCCCCCTTCAAGACAGTGTTTTTGTGTAATAGTTCTGGAACTCACTTTGTAGACCAGGCTGGCTTCAAACTCAGAGTTCCAACCTCCTCTATCTCCTGAGTGCCAGGATTAAATGTGTGTGCTACTGCTGCCCAGCAGGACACATTCTGGAAGAAGCATCTGCAAGTCATATTTACCTGGTAAAGAACTTATGTCTTGAATATATAAAGAATTCTTGCAATTAAGTAAGAAAATATATAGGAGTTGGGTGTGGTGGTGCCTGGGCCATTTAGGGTAACACAAATACATGTAAGCCTGAAAAAAGAAGATGATTTGGGACTATTCTAGTTTCCTACTATACAATCACACTTGGATGCTTCAACATTTATCATCATTTCAATCCCTTTATTTTTAGACAAGTTCACCACTGTTTCTTCCCTTTCAGCTCAAATTTTCAAGCTTACAGTTTCTTTACTATTTCAGCCATTTTAAACATCACAGGATGGTGTACTGCCGAGTAGCATGGGGTGACTTTGGGCAAACTACTTCCTCCGTGACTCATAATACAAAGCTGACTACACATGTTGAGAGCTAATTCAGTCTCAATAAATAAATACTACACCCAAAGTTCTCTTCCTTGTCATAACAGTGCCATTACTACTGCCTGCGACTGGCTTCAAACTCACAGAGGGCCACCGGCCTCACCTCCTGATTACTGGAATTAAAGGTAAGGGCCAACTCACCCAGCTGAGCTCCATTTTTTATTCTTTCCTTGCTCTACTTATATCAAGCAAGGGATAAGTTCTGCTAGCTCTTCCCAGAACAATTTTTCTATCTGTGATAACTAGTAATGGAGATGCAGTAATGAAGGCATTTTCTTCCATCAGCCTTTCAAATTTTTGGTTACTCTCATTCAAATCAATTATGTACTACTATCAGTTTAATTTTAATTCTTTCCAAAATTCCCATTTCCTACAGAAGAAAAACTGAGGCACTGAACAAGGGGGAAAAATGTGTTTCATAGTTGTTTCCCAAATTAATCACTGCTATAAAACCTATAAAAAGTATGATTGCTGAAAGCATCACGACTGAGTTTTAGCCCTACAATTATCAAAGCAAGTAACATTTATTAATATAAGAGCAACAAAATGTTTTAAGTTGCCTTCAACTAGCATTAGGAAATCTTAATTATATCAGCAAACATTCCTTGCATAGTCTGAGATTTGATTTGGTGTAAAATCACTAGTAATTTATAGAAACTTGAGTTTCACTTACCTCTTGGGGCTCTACTTTCCTTTTGTTACATATAAAATGTTATATAAGGTCATCACTTTATGTTCATTGGTACAAAAAGGTACCATAAATTGAGTACAAGACTCTTTTCTGAAGAATATAAATCAAACAGTTATCCAAGAAGATAATAATATTACTGGAAGAAATGGCAGAGGTGTATTTCTGTCAGTTTTTATCTAAATTTAGTTTTTATTTTATGTGTATGGGTTTTATTGACCCCAGGTATGTCTGTCTGTTTATTACGTGCATGCCTGGCCAGAAGAGGGCATTGGATTCCCCAGAACTAGAGTTAGACAGTTTTAAGCTACCATGTGGGTACTGGAAATTGAACCTGGATCTTCTGTGGAAGCAGCAAGTGCTTCCAGCCCCTATATCATTCTTGAACATCACTATTTCTGCAGTTGGTAATAATTTAATGGCATGTGATTCTATTCTAAAAATACAAGTGCAGATAAAAATTACTATAATCTGAAGTTCCTTGAGACTATTTCTAGAAAACTCAAAAATCTTATAAAAATTATTTTTGTATACTGTCAAAAATTTTGTTTTAAAATTTAAAGCTACACTTAAAAATTTCACTATGATTCATTAACAATCCATATTTTATTGATAGTGCATTACTACTAAATAATATGGAATACTACTAGAATGGGACCAAAAATGTGATATTGGCATAGAAATGCAGCTCTTCTTGGAAATCTCTACATTTAACATTTTAACATTTACCTTTTTTCTTCTTTTGCTCTCAGCTGTTCTTCCTGTCTCAAAACTTGAACCATTATAGACTCAAAAACTCCACTTGTCAAACCTGCCAAACTTCGAGGTGTTGACCGGCGCCTTGTTGAAGTACATGCAGTTCCCTTCTCCTCCTCCAATCCATAATAGCCTCTAGATGTAACTGCTATCGTTGTCTTTTCTCTCAAGTGCCTTGGAGAAGAATAAGTCAATTCACAAGTCAAATCTTCTGGATAATCAACACACCCTTTCACCAGTACCTTAAGAAAAATTTCTTTTGTTGACTACTACAAAACACTTAGTTAAAACTTTCTTTGCCATGTTCCAGAGTTTTATCTGTTCCACATAAGAGTCTAACTTCTTTCATATAAAATTCATTGAGAATCCCTCCTCTACATTTTAAAAAAAAGCATAAGCATGAAGCATTCAAGTTAAGGACTAACAACCTGACAACACTAATTCTATTAAAAAAACATCAATAGAAAGTTTTTGTTTGCAATAGGTATACTGTTTATTGATGTATGAGAAATGTACAATGATATGGAAACATTTTGGGAAAGAAGATTTTGATACATAAACACTTTGGGGGAAATTATAAACAAGGACAGCATTACAATATTTGGCAATTATATTGCATTGAGCCCCAAGAGAAAGAAATTATAAGGCCCAAGGAAAACAGCTGCCTCGTAATAACAAACCCTGAACAAATAAAGTAGAGGTTTGCTTAAATGTGTTTTTACCAAGTGATCTAACTCTGTAACATTAATTACTTATCAATACTAATGAAAGAGAAAATATTAATACATAGAGAACAAACAATGTAATCTGCCTTCTGACTGAATAGATTCAGAATTTAGAATTTTAGAATTCCTCTTCATTCTCAGTGTATGTGTCCTTCATGATATTTTTATTAATTCACTGAGATACTGGTCTAATGCTTAAAAATAGTATCCCAGCAAATTGTGCACAAATCACTTTAATGAATTTGAAATGATTAAAAAAACATCTATTATAATAGACCTAGGGATGTAGCTAAGAGGTAGCAAGCATAGGACACAATTACTGACCTACAGTACTGCAAAAAAGTCAACAAAAACATATTTATCCTAGAAAAGGAAACATTACACTAACCTTGCAAAGTTTTAACAGCTAGTCCAACTATTGATTTCTAGCTCTGTATCTATTATATAAATAGCAATTGTAAAAAAAAATCAGAGAAAACATCTTTTGACCTTTGCAAATTATGCCAAATCCTCTGAAAATTTCACGTTATTTCTACAATGGCGAATTTAAGTCCGTTCTAAAGGTAATCACTCAAAATACTGCATAATAATTTATATGAGGATTTTCTCCCTTGGAGCCCCTCCCACTCTTGAATGTTCTTTTCTTACTTTTTCTTAATAAATCTATATTCCCTCTGTTTAAACAAACCACACACGCAAAAAAAAAAAGAATTTATATGAATCAAATGCTGGCTATGGCTATATTTCCATTTTCCTAAAAAGCGTCAAAAAGTTCACTGAAACACAACCCTTTATAACACTGTAAGATACATCATTCCCTCCCTTCTCGTATTGTGTCCATAGCAGTTTACCATTATAAATAAGGGTAACTTACCACTCTTACCTTCACTGGCATCTGGGTCCCACGAATAGAGCCTACTAAACTACTGTTCTGTTCTCTGTTACAAGGAGATGGCACTAACTGATTTAGCTCCTCACAGGATAAGAACATTAGTTTTCTAACAGTGAAGAATTTGGTTCATCATTTGCTGTGCTATTTTAGGCTGCTGTTACCCTTTTGTAAAAATTAATTGTGTACTGGGGGGGGCAACATGTCACTATGTCTGTAGCGATTAGGAGACTGCTTTCAAGTGTCAGTATATTCTTTCTGCCTCTAAACAAAATTTTACATTTATTTATTTATTATCTGTGTACACAGGCAGGTACATGTGGAGGTCAGAGGACAACTTCAGAAAATTGGTTCTTTCCTTCCACCATGGGGGTTCCAAGGAAGGAACTCTGGTTATTAAACCTGGTAGCAAGTACCTTTACCTGCTGAGCCATCCCCAAGAGCCAGATTACATTAGTTAATGTACCATTCATCTAAAAAGACCAAGTACGTGTATATGCACTCAATAAAAAAGACATCATCATATGTTGTGCAAAAAGTTTTTGAATAAAATACTTAACCTACAAACATCACAAATATAAACGGCATCTAGAAGTATGTGTGCTTGTGTATACATGAGTCCAAACTCTTAACCTAGATTACAACAAATGCTTCATGACAAGGTTTTTTCCTTTCACTCTGCTCTATCAATACATAAATCTGTGCAGTACTTTCAAAAGCTACTTGGAGTATGCCATTACCTTGCTGTCTCCTCTAAAATCTTCCAGTCATACTTAGAACACATCTGATATTCTTTTAACCTCTAAGACCTGGTGTGATATGGTCCTTACCTCCTTAAGGCCTTTCTTTGCATTTCTATGTCTTTGCTCTCTGCATTCTAGTCAGTCTTTCATCTATTCTGGGCCACACTAACACATCTATTTCCCTAGAGTCTTTGTGCATCATTCTTCTACCACAAACATACTCTTCCACAGATAGTCACATGTAGGTCTGTCATTTGAACCAAGTTTCAAAGGCACCAAGTCTGAGAGGGTTTTCTCTGATTGTGATGTTTAATAACAGCTTCCCTAGCACTCTATGCCCTTATATTGATTTCTCTGTCTTTATTTTACTTATCACCATACTGTGTTCATTAGAATTTATTTAATAATTGTTTACCCTCCCCCACCCGATTTCCCGAAAAAGCTCAGGGTCTATGCAAAATGGAGGTGAAAAGTGTAAGAGTCAGAGGTGATGGATGACTCCTAGGAAACAGTGTCTTCGAGACACAACAAGACTGAAAAATACAAAAACTCAGAGACTATGGAAGCACACACAAAGCCCATATAGGCTCAATTCAGACAGGGTCCCAGTACTGAGAGAAAAGTGGGCTCCCATCCCCAATCAAGAAGCTATCTGGAATTGATATCTGCTAACACTTCAAGGTAGGCTCCAAGCCCAAGAGAAACTGGACAACACAAAACAGATTCAATGGTATTTTTTTCTGAAGACTTTTTGTCTCATTTTGCTTTGTTTGAGCATTTTTTTTATTATGGTCTTTTGCTTATATAATTTGGTTTCTATTTTCATATGTGTTTTATGTATGTACGTACCTATTTCTTGATTTTGTTTGTTTTTTTAAAGAGGATGGGAGGAAAAAGAACATAAAATTGGGTTTGTAGGAGGTGGGGAAGATCTGGAAGGGGATGAATATGACCAAAATATATTGTATGAAAAAATTTTCAATTTAAAAAATTAATTATCCATTCCCCAACCATAAGGAAAGAGCCAAAAACATAAGGGACTTTCTCCCTTTATTGACTGCACTTTCTGACCGTAAACTAAAATAAATAGGTGTATATATTTGTGTGAATACAAGTTTAAATATCTTCGAAAGGCTATAAGCCAAGTTGTTTCACATTTTTCAGTTACAAATATATTTAAAACTCCAATCGATGTATTTGTCTACAGTAAGAGTCCTGATTAAACGTGTTATTTGGTTTTTATTCATTAGAGAATAAAATACCATAAAGTAAAATAGAATCTCACCTCATCTCCAAACAGGAATTGTCACACAATCAAGGACTATATAAACACACTAAAGTAAGCCTTCCCTTAACAAACAAACAAACAAATAAAACCAACAAGAAACCAAGTTCTTTTCTTCCTATGAGGAAAATTGTTCATGAAATAAATGTCAGTACTTTGAAGATAATATACTGCCAACCATACACAAAACATTAGCAATAATTATAGGTGAGTTTGTGTCATCATTTCTATTGTTTTTTTTTTCCTTTAAG